TATATATATTAAACAAAACCTTTTTTCCTTTTGATTTTTGGCTTATTTTCTTGATAGATTTTGTGAGATTAATTTCCAAGAGGCACAGAAAACACACTTCACATATACACAGTGACTGACTTGTTTACTCAGAATCTGCCACATACATTTTCTAAAACAACATAAAAATAAATTATTTAAGCATGAAATGGGCTCTGTGGGATTTTAATGTGTCATTCCATTTGTTTCACTGAAGGCTGTTTGACAATATGCTCACGTTGTCAGTGTTCATTTTAACATGCACAGCTAAACAAGATATGGTTTAGAGTGTATTGCACTCTAATCTGAATCTCAGCCCAACCAGAACCTTTAGGAGATCTTCACTGATTTCATCCAAGGTATCCAAGTGACGTCTATGGAGCAGCAAGCTGTCAGACTCATTTGCAGTGATCATACATTGTTTAAGTGCAGAATTTCAGTGGAGTTTGAGCTGACCGTGTATATCAAACGTCCCTCTCTTAGTAACCATCCTGCGTTTAGACTGATGCATTACTAGTTCCTGTCAGTCTCTTGAATTACCACATGCACTTCCAACAGTGCATTCATCAGCGTGTCAGGGAGAGGTGGTGCTCTTGGGATGAGGGGGGAGGTGGAGGTCTGTCTGTGGCGTTTTGAAGCACCGGGAATGAGAGCAGGGCCTGCAGGCATGTGCCGATAACCCAGCTGGAGAAACACACTGAATGCTCAGCGCATTCGCCAGCAAATCACCTGCACAAGTCAGTTCTGCTCCACTGCTGCGTCATCTCGTATCACTCGGGGCAGGACTTCTTACTTTAAAGTCAACATGAAATAGCATTTACAAACCATTTTAATTTCATGATGTGACTTGTTTCCATGTGAAACAGGATGCTTGTGGGAAAAAAAGTGTATTTCTGTCATGACAATTCTTTGAGTGTTTAGCATGGTAATATACATGGCAATGTTAATGTGTTTGGTCTTGGCAGAATAGATCTGCTACGCTGCTGCTGTGACAGAGCAAGTACCGAGACTTGCTACTACCAATACAACCATAGACATGCTGCTGTGAGCATATAAGAAATACTGCTGCTGCACACTTAACATACGTGAAATAACCTCCATATATAACATACATGAAATTGCCCCGTAGCAGATCTATACAGGTGGAGCTGGGGAAGGTGGAGGGTTTCTATGGTGCGCTGTAACTGGCACAACAAGCACTAGCCAAGTATTTGAATATTGAACAGCAGCTCATTGGCTGCTGATAAAAAAAGAAACCAATCAGCCGCACCATGTGAATAATTATATCATTATGTTATATATATATATATATATATATATATACTGTATATATGGTCATGAAAAATGGTATATATGATAGTGGTGTGTCAGGCTTATTATAGTTAACTAAAGTAAAACTAAAGCCGAAATGATTAAATGTAAATGTAATGTTAATGTAAATATATAAAAATATGTAAAAGGATAGTTATATTTATACAACAGTTCCTTCTGGTTCTCAAATCTGATTGGTTGAGAACCGTGAGATATTGTACTGGTATCGCTAAAGGAACGCCCTTTCACAATTTTGTATCACTCCGCTTGTTCTAGCCGGGTCTATGTTTTTTTTTAATTATTCACTGAGCTAATCGTAGAGTACGTTAGTTAATATAAGAAGAAACGTCTAGCTTCGCGGTCTCTCTCTCTCTCATTCGGATGCTCGTCTTGCCGCATTGTTTCTCTCTTATAACCTCATTATTTCTCACTAATAACCTAACTGAAACAGTACATGCCCTTGATACGAATTCTAAAAGTGACGTATGTTTAACTGTCAACTTGAGCTTTGAATCCGTGGCGGAAGGAAGTAGTTCCACACAAAAAGGGTTTTATTAGGCACGTACTCAAGTGATATTGCTCATATATAATCATTTTAACCTATATTACCCAGGCTTATCTGTGTAAATTGCATGTGTCTCTTTTTGTGTGGGTGGATGGGTGGGTGTGTATGCACACGTTAATGGAGTGACAAAGTTGTTATTAATGACTGTTTGTTGTGTGTGGGATCTTGTTATATTTCTGTGTGTGAGTGGCGCCGGCACAGCTGAATTTTCCCGCTGCTGTTATGACAAGCACTTATTGAATCATGAATCTTCCTCCCGTTCTTCATCATGAGTCTGCTCATCCTTGACACCTCCAGTTGTCCCATCAACTCCTCATCATAGTACCGCTCGTTTTGCAACTTGTGTGGTTTTCTCTGGCAAGCGGATGATGTATAACACACATAGACTGCATTCCCACAGTGTTTGGGATTGACACCCATATTTGAGGCTGGGATTGTCCTGTTCAGATTGAAATCTGTCAGTGTGAATGGCAGCCAATCCTATTCTTTTAATTACTTAAGCCATACAGGCTATTAGAGAATGTTAACCAAGAGCATACAGTACATAGATATTAATCATTGTTTTAGCAAACTCACATTTAATATAGTTTTATTCTGGTGTGTAACACCCACTTTTCACATCCTACCTTTTTTATTTTTTTAATTATTATTTATTCTCTTTTTTCAGTTTTTTGTATATCCTGTTCAACAGATTTGTCTGTTTACAGAAGTAAAATTGGCTGCAAATAGCCATTTAAATTGACTTCTATAAGTCTTGTTTAATTGCAGAATATCTGTATTTTATTTCTGCTTCGTCACGCTTAAAGAAAACCATTTTAATGGTTTTAGTTTTAATATTTATTCATAATATTTATACGTTTAACATTTATATGTTTAATATGTTGTTTTTTGTGGTTCTACATCATTTGCAATTCGGCAAGGGATGAGTAGGTCATTGCTTCATTAAACATGAATAGATTTTTTATTTTTTTTTACTTTTTACTTTGAATCCAGGTTTGTAGTTTCTGAAAAATGTAGTAAAAATGAGTTTTTGCTTAAAACAAGAAAAATATCTGCCAATGGGGTACTCAATCAGTCAATCAATAAACTTAAAAAAAGATTTTTCTTATCCCTTTGGTATAGATGTTTTAAGCAGAAAACAATACTTACTGTACTATCTTAAGTTTTTGTATTTCTCAAGCAAATATATCTTGATTTAAGAATGTTTAGATATTTGTACTGGAGAACCACACAAAAATAATAAGTAAAAACGAATTTTTATTGCAGCTGTTAACTTCACAACTTCCTCAACAAATTGGTTATAGAATACAGTTCTCGCTCACTTTCATATCCAAACTGTGTCAACAGAATTGTATTAAGCACTCCAAATAGGACTGACAAGTGAATTTCTTATTAAAAGTGACAAACTCTTACTTTCCCTACAGAAAAAGGAGAAAGCGTCAGTCATCAAGCAGAACAACGCCTACGCCGTCGCCGTGGCGAACTACGCCCCCAACATCACCAAGGACACTGTCCTCCCCACCATCGCCAAGGGAAGCATAGCCGAGCAGGGAAAGACCAAAGCTGACGGGAAACCGGCCGAGGCAAAGAAAACCTTCAACAGCGTGAGTAAAATCGACCGCATATCCCGCATCATGTTCCCGGTTCTCTTCGGGACATTCAACCTGGTTTACTGGGCAACGTATTTGAACAGAGAACCCGTGATCAAAGACATGATGCCCTCTTATTAGACGGTGTCCAGGGTTGTGACGGATTCCACTAAGCAGGACTAAAGACTAGGCCAAAACCACCCAGGGACTGAATATAATCACGCTCCGACGCTCTTTCCCATCTGCTCCACACAGACGTGTCGTGGATTGTTGCAAGATGCCTTTCTATCTCTCTCTATATCTCGTCACTCTTTTCTACAGCTTTTTCAGCAGTGCTTTTGAAATGACATTTGCCTTTGTACATATGTACGTAGTGAAAATGAAAATGACGTGTTATGTTTGTGTTTCGCTCTGTGAGAATCTGACTTTGGACCTCTATCTGTGATATAGACTAGCAAGTTATAGTGATTTATTTATTTATTTGATGTAAAAGTTCAACCTTTTTGTGATGGTGCTTGTTTTTGAGTAGCCTATAAATATTTTTTTTTAATAAGACCAAGCTCTTGTGCTTATGGTCTGATATTTTTTGCTGGGCCCATACACAAAAAAAAACATATGAAATCAACTGTTTACACACATTGCTGTATCTTTACCCTCTGTGAGTTTATTTTCTTCTATTGAACCAGGAATGTTCCTTTAACAGCATTTTGGAAGATTTGTTTACTGTCAGTTTTTGACTACATCCCTTTATAAAGGTCTCTAATGCAGCAGCATGTATCAGGGTTGTTTGGAAAGCTCATTCAACCTGAACTTTGAAGTCAAGAAGAAACCGCAATTGCATGCCATATTACTTCCATAATGTGCCCTATTTTAGAGTAAAATTACACAACAACAACAACAAAATGCAAGCTGGGGTTTGATTTTACCCATTGGGGATTTACAGTATTCCATTTCATTTAAAAACAAGCCAACAAGGCTAGAGCTGAAAGCAAATTGTTGTATTTTGATGAAAGATTAGGAATACATATTATTTAGTCACACCCAAAGAAACAGCTCACCCAAAAATGAAATTTGCTGAAAATCTGCTCTAAAATTTTAGGCCATCCAAGATGTATGAGTTTGTGTCTTTATCAGAACATATTTGGAGAAATTTAACATTATATCACTTGCTCACCAATGGATCCTCTGCAGTGAATGGGTGCCGTCAGAATGAGAGTCCAAATAGCTGATAAAAACATCACAATAATCCACAAGTAACTTTTGGACTGTTTTTGTTTTTGCAGACTGAAGATAAGACAAATTTTCACTTGATAAAGTAGTGTTAATCATAATGATTGATTTGTTTATTACAAACATTCGGTTTATGGATTATTATTGTGATGTTTTTATCAGCTATTTGGACTCTCATTCTGACGGTACCCATTCACTGCAAAGGATCCAGTGGTGAGCAAGTACTCCAAGTCTGTTCCGATGAAGAAACACACTCATCAACATCTTGGATGACCTGAGGTTGAAAATATTTTAGGGAAATGTTCATTTTTGGGTGAAATCTTACTTTAAGAATTAGTCACAAGAAAGTAAAATGGGTCCATATAACTTTAAACGTGACTAGACTTGGTGCTTCATGATTGTACATAAATGCACTATTTCCTAGGGCCTAGGCATAGTTTTTGTTCATTATTCTTACATTGCATATTAATAACTCCATTATAAATACAGCAAGTTGAGCTTTCCTCACATCCTTCCATCAAAGATGAAGTGCATCATTTTTGATGTTGAAATACTTTCTCCTTGTCCAGGTTTAATGTGAAAATACTATTATAAGACATCTGCATGTTGCCTTCTTAAAGAGTGAAAACACTGTGGCTTTGTGGCACTTTAAGAACTTTAAGCAGCCTGATATGGGCGGGGCTATTTGTTTTTCAACCAATGGCAGACAGGGAGTGTTTGGAAACAATCTGTTTGGTGCCATTAATGATGCAGAAATGACACACTTCATCTTTCATGCTGGAGCTAAGGAAATTAGTGAGCATGTTAAAAAATTATAATCATGATGATTTCATGTTCAGTAGTTTCCTCATTTTGCCACTGTGCTTTCCTGTAATTGAATTCTTGCAGACAATGATTTTTTTGGACCAAAAGACCGAAGTGCTTCAGCTACTGCATGTTTACTACAATTGTTTACCCTCTACAATGAAGCTAAATATTCTTAAAATTCAGTGTGTTACAAAATATGATGCAGTAACATCATATAAATGTCACTGACTCTGAATTCTGCAAATTTCAATTGCCTGTCACAGAGAAGACAACATTTTTTTTGTATATATGTAAGGAATATTTGTTCATGTAGGTGTTGTTATATAGGTGTGTGATTTACCATGAGCCTGTTTTATGTTGTCTGTTTGTACAGTTTTTTACACAGAAAAAATACGCATTGCAGATATTTCAGGCAAGCCTTTAAGTTATTCATTTTAAGGGAAAGATGTATGATGTTCATTTAAGCATGCTGCAGCCTTTTTGGCTCTACAGAAAATGATCAAAGTGTTTCGGAATTGTATACATTGTTACAATTGTTTATTACTATTTATTATTGTTAATTTGTTCATTATAAAAAAAAATTCTAATGTTTAGGAGTTCATATCAAAGTGTCAATATGTTTTTCAATATGTTTAGCTAAAATTTATTTAATATATTTATTGAATACGTATTAATTTATTCTCTTTATTTCTCAGTATTATTTGACATGCTATCATATTAAATCTCTTTTCTGTGTGAATATCATATAGTTTGAAGCTCTGCTTTAATTTTCACATTGCTTTGATTGTATTAAATTATGGTTGCATCTTTGTTATGCAGAAACTGTTTGAGCAATAAAAAAAGAAGAGGTGACATGTAAACTTCCTGGCATGGAAAAGAGTTTTTCACAGAATGTATAGATCTCTGTCATTGTCCTGCTGAAAGACGATGCAAATACATCTTGAATGAAACATTCATTATTAACGAAAACACATTAACGAAACACATTAATGACAGCATTATTATTGAAAGGAACATTGCATCCAAAAATAAAATTTGATCTAATTTATCTCACTTACATGGTGCTCTAAATGCGTATGCTGTTATTTTTATGGTATTTTTGTGTACTTTTGGAAGGTTTACAGACATGATCACTATGAAGCTGCATGAGGATCTTTTCTTCTTTTGCGCGCACTTCATAAAAAAAATACCAGCATACGGGTTTGGAACAACATGAGGGTGAGTAAATGACTTCATTTTCACTCTGTGTGAACTATTCCTTTAATTGAAAATGTGGGGAAAAATCAATAAGTTGTATACTTTTTAAAATGAATCACCAAGACCAGTGCTCACTTATGTCTGTTACTATTCTATATAATGAATATGTTGTTTCCTATAATGTAAATGTGAATTTAGGCACACGACCAACAACTGAACCGCTTTAGTCCTTTAAGTGCTAGGACTCCGTTTCCAAATATTGGTACTTTCTCTTTCAAACATCATTCTACTTACTCTTTCAACAGCTTCTTGCTAAAAAAAAAAAAAAAACAACTAGAACAAATATATTCATGTCTGATTCTTTTATTTATATCTCTTTCAGGGCATTTTCCAGTATTCAGGATGGTTAAAATACATGCTGATATACATTCTTTTGCTGTTATTTGCCATTGTTTTGTGCCAGGCTGCATGATGACTAAGATCTTGGGAAAAGGCAAAATATGTCAATTGCAAAATAGGTTAAGTAGTATTTTCTCCTTCCATTTAAAAACTGATTATTGAAAGTACTGCTATCCTTTTATCCAAGCAACTTAAGAAAATTAAAGGAATAGTTCACCCAAAAATTTAAATCTGCTGAAAATGTACTCACGCTCAGGCCATCCAACATGTAGATGAGTTTATTACTTTATCAAAACAGATTTGGAGAATTGTAGCATTACATAACTTGCTCAGCAATGGATCCTCTGCAGTTGAATTGGTGCCGTCAGAATGAGAGTCCAAAAAGCGAACAAAAACATCATAATAATCCACAAGTAATCTACACGTCTCCAGTCCATTAATTCATGTTTTGTGAACTGAAAAGCTGCATGTTTCTAATAAACAAATCTATTATTAATGCATATTAATGCATTTGTCACTTCTGGCCAAAATTCTAGGTGATAATCCATGATAAAATCTGTTCTGATGAAGAAACAAACTCATCTACCCATCTGTATATCTTGGATGGCCTGAAGGGGAGTAAATTCTCAGCAAATTTTTATTTTTGGGTGCAAGAAAAGATCAGGACATGGGCTCATGGAATTCCATAATCAGATACAGGTATTTCCCTCCAGTACCGTTTCTAGGCATAGGCAAGCTAGGCGGTCGCCTAAGGTGCCACCAGCAGGAGGGGGCGCCAATGAGCGCATGTACTGGTGCTACATTTTAGCAGGGTTGTGATGAGTGGCACGGCCACCCTGAAATATGATTGCCGCCCCCACTGGATCCCCCAACATCATTGGGCTAGAGTACTGTCAATTTGACGATGCCTGTATGCCACTGGATCAGAGCGCTGTCAATTGCTGCCTGATTGTTGCATGCAAAGTTTGCATTTGGAGCGCTCAACAACATCATTAGATCAATGGGTTCTGTCAGTGCTTTGTCAAGGTAAGGCTTTTTTTGCCATGCAATAAAGCCAAGTTCAAAGGCCAATTTAAAATATTGGTACAATAAAAAGTGCACAAAATCAGTATTTTGTTTAGGCAGTATTTGTGGCAGTCGAGAAATCATGTTGTGAAATCGGTCCAAATGTGTGCGTTTTTGTGCCAATGCGTTAAAGAATCAGAGTGTTGTGTAATATTCCCAACAAACTTTAACAGCTAATTAAAAAATATTGGTGTAGTAAAATTTGCTAATTCACAAGATCAATAAATCCTTTATTAAACCGCTTTGTCGAATTTAACGCATCCTTACGGAAGTGTCGAAATGCTGAAACAATTAATTCGCTTCCAACAGCGCTTAATGGGAGCAGCGTCATACACATAGAGGGCAGAGCGTCGCGTTATTTAAAGGGGAAGTTCAAGCGTCAATGAGTAACAAAGGAACAAGTAGCTGCATTCTGATTACTTTTATGATTAGACACACTCTCATATACATATAGGATGCTGCATCAAACAAATTCTTAAAGGAAGAAATGTAAATAACAAATCAACTCCATAGCAGATTCCAAGTGATCCAGGGCTTAGGATGTTCCAATTCAGCCCATTGCAAGGGTTCAGCCAGTAGTGGGCACTCGTGCAACATAATCAATGACGTACATCCGAGTAAACGAGACGGAGGGAAGTTTGCGAGTGAAGGGCATAAAAAACGGACTGGAACGCAGCCATAGAGGGCAGAGTGTTGCGTTATTTAAAGGGGAAGTTCACGCATCAATGAGTAACAAAGGAACAAGTAGCTGCATTCTGTTTACTTTTATGCCACTGATCAGGCAATGTAGTTTGAGGTAACAAAGGGTTTTATATTTGACTGAAATAATGCAATAACTGACAAAACAACTGAACAAAAAACAGATAAAGACAAAAAGTAACCATTGATAATATCTAAACATGTATCCCAATCCAAATGGAATAAAATTAATTTATGTGTGATGACAATTTCTTAGAAACTAGGGATTGTTACATAGAGCTATACAGGCATCCAGTGGCTATAATGGTATTACAGATAATAAATTGTGCAAAATGTTTGTCCTAACAGTCAATTTGCAAATAATGCGTTCAGATTTGTGTAAATCACAATGCACTGAATCTCCACAAATTGTCGTTACTATGACAACCAATTTGAATGTGACAAGAAACTGATGTCTGAAAAGAAATTATAATAACCTATATGCAAATATAATTTGGAAATGTGTCAAGGTTGTTATTTAAGATTTGAGTGTTTACATAATCAGTTTTATGTTATTTTGAGTTGGATGGGGCCGCCTAGGGCGTCAAAATGGCTAGAAACGGCCCTGGTCTCACCTCAGTTGTGGTATT